TAATTTGTCCTGCGACTGTAGTAAATAAATATTTGCATCCAAACGTGATCGTGTTACTAAGGTTATCGTACCATACTCTCGAAATCACAGCGTCGACAGTGGTGACATCCCAATATCGTACCATACTCTCTAAATCACAGCGTCGACAGTGGTGACATCCCAATAGCGGTTGCTCACCTTTAGGAACAGCAGTATCTCCAACATCAGCGGCGAAAGTCGGTTGCGCTCGTAGCGCAAGAGCATGCGCGCCATACTGAGCAGCCTCTCTACTTTGTTGGAGGTAGGTGGAATGGCAGATATCATCACGTAGGTGTCGGGCTCCGCGGTGATCTTCCTGCGCTTGAGAATCCGATCGGCAAAGCCTAACTTGGCTGATTCCTCTACCGTGTCGCTGCTCCTGCTGTTCGCACGTTGAAAAGGCCTCAGTGCCTCTTTTCAGCACTTGTTAGGTCCTTCTCATGGCCACCGAGAACTTTGACCACACCACCTTTAAAATCTGGAGAGTGCACGATATCCGCTCTTGGAGCTAATTATTTATTAAAAAAAGGTTCGATAACTATAGAAAATAAAATAAAAGCAAAACCTTACCGAGATAATTGGTGAAACTTGGTTTTATCTCCAGCAGCCCATCCAGCAAATCGCGAGCGTCAAGAAGGTTGAGCTCGTTTGACTACAATTTCTTGGGAATTGACTCGATGTCGCCCATTTCCGTCAGCAGCGCTTTGAGTCTGCGATTAGCGGCCGGTAACGGTAGTAGCTCGACCAAGTCTTCGTCGTCCGCGTTTATAAACTCTCGGAGTTCAAAATAGCGAGCCAGCATCGCGTACGTTGACCCCCAGCGGGTTTGCTGACGCAGCTTGGGCCGGAGTGGTGTCTTCAGTCTATTCAGAATAAATCAAAAACAAAATTAAAAAAATAATTTTAAATAGATCCGTCTTCCATGTCGCCCACCGATCTGCGGGTTCGGATGGGGAGGCCCGTGGGGAGGCTGGGGAGGCTGCGGTGGCTGGGGTCGCTGCGGCGGATGGGGTGGCTGGGGTGGCTTCGGCGGCGGCGGCTTCGGCGGCTGGGCCGCTTGAGTGATTGTTCGCAATTTATTCATTAGCGACTGGACTTGTTCGAGGTCCTGTTCTTGCGGGTCTAGTAGCGTTCGGACTGCGAGGTTCAGACGGTGGCTTGCACAGCCCACAAGCGGCACGCTCATGAGGCGCGCAAGTCGCTTGTTGACTGCGCAGTTATCGCCAACCAAGAATATTAGATAGGTCCTTACCGATAAATGGCAAAAAGGCTGCCAGCGCCACCATGTGAGTCTCGGCGTCAAACCGCCCGCTTGCATCCACGACGATCGGCGCCAGCGATAGTAGAGGGTACCTGGGTCCGGCCCTGGTTTCGTAGCACCCAAAGACAGCGAGGTAGTGTTCGGACCCGTATCAGCCCGAATTGTCGGGCATCTCGTCACCCACGAGCCCTTCCACTGCCTTGGTGAGATCCTCCATGTTCTCTCTCAGTGTATTGGTCGAGTCAGGAGGCAAATTGGTGTACCTAACATTAAGTATTAGAATTTAAAAATTTAAATGAGGGCGAGTTACAGCCAATACAAACCTGCGAGTAGCCTCCATTTCAACAAATGAGAGTGGGAGTTCCCGTTCACAACCCATTTCAGCCAGGCGTACCTCGTCGAGGCCTTCTAGTGGACCCACGGGAGGAGAGTGCCCGTTGCCGCGGCACTTGCCGCCTCCATCTCCTGCTCGTAGCCCGGGTGGGTCGGTGCGGACGTGGGGGCACCAAGTTGGTGTACTTTCGTCTTGTGGACGTGCTTGCGGGTTTTGCCACAAGCTTTGCAGACCTGAAGGCCAGTAGGATCTCCGTTTTCGGTATGGGAGGACTTGAAGAAGAACATAGCAATTTACTTTGGGGAGAACTTGCTCCTCAAGCGCTGGGATGCATCAGGGAAGCGTCGGACATGGCGAAGGTTAGCAGTTTGGGCTTTTTGCGAATTGAAAAGTGAGTTTGAGTCGGCGGCAAAAGTTTGTAGACAGCTCAGGGCCAACGGAAATCTGGTGGCTGTCGAACAAGGACAATAAATTTCGTGTACGATTACATAAACGCAAGAAAAATTTCAAGTTGTGGCCAGACCATAAGTAAATTATTTCTCGAAGGAAAAAATGTATTTTCAGTAAATATATTTTTGAGGATCCCTGCGCTCCAGCAACCGCTCCGCTTGAGAAGTTCGCCTCGCACGCACATACATCTGAACTTGTCGGACTTGCGATCGTGAGCTCGTTAGGCTTGAGATCGGACTTGGAGAACGTTTCGTCCACGAAAACGTTTGCTGAGCGAAGGCGAAGCGCATTCGTGTACATGAGTATAACGTCGTCCACTTCGTCGTCCTCCTCAACATCCTTGCTTAAGCTTCCAACGCTAACGTCTTCTTTCCTGGACGTGTCAAGTCGATTTCCTCCCCGTCGTCGTCCCATTAGAGCTCATCCTGGTAAATAGGTTCAGCTTCGGGCAATGGCTTCCAATTCCACGGAGCTATGCTCACAGTAGCGCGAAACTGAGCTGGTGCGTACACTTTGACAAGTGTGCTATACACGAACTCAGTCGTGAGTACATGATGCCTTTCCATGTGTCGAATGATCTGATCCGCTTGTATTGTGTCCATGCTTGGCACATGCGTGCAGTACCGTCGTGTACGAATGTATATCGGGGATTTGATCAAACAGGTGAACGCCACCTCATCCGGATCCGATACGTGTGCTCGCATCAAGTGGAAGCAGGACGATCGCAGCGGTCATTAAGATTGTAAAGGAAGAGTGGTCGGGCACAATTCCAGCCAACTGCACCATCTCCATGAAATTGACGTGAGCCATGGCGCGACTTGACTTGTGTGTGATGGCGAAGATCTCACACTTTGGTGCCGCCCCAATCATTTATGCTACTGCTGGGCTTGATATTGCTCCATGGGCCATCATCGTCCAAGCCCACGGTTGATACGCTCGCTACGAGTTGCAGGTACTGGATGACATGCCTTAAACGCTTCCAAGCAGTCAGGGATCCGGGTTATTCTATATTACAAAGAGAGAGAGAGAGAGAGAGAGAGAAAAAGCGAACAGAACCGTCAATGAGACCCACCGTCTCGATGAATTCGACCGCATTGCTGGTCTCAACCGTACTCGCCGCAGATGCTCAGCGCAATCTTTGGAGGCGTCGCGCGACCAGACTGCAGCACCACAACCTAAACCACGTCACACGACATGATTATTATGACGCGGCCTCACCACCGAACGAGAAAGATGACGAGAGTTTGCAGCCATGAAAGAAAAGATGATATTTTGAATAAACGTACTATAGGCGAGTACCTACCAGGGCTCAAGTGTCAGCATCTTGAGCGCTTTCTGCTTTGCTGACGAGATTCAACAGCCCGTTTGGTAGGATTCCCGGACCTTGAAGACCGACGGCTCGATAGCATTTTGGCTTCGTCAGAGCACTGCTGGCTTGCTGGCTCGGGGATCACCCCTTCGTTCTCGCTAATGCCTGGTAAATTTAACTGCCTTGGCCCCGATCTAAATGCTACCGGAGCTTCCTGTTACCGATCACCCTCCACGTCCTCTACATCTTCCAGAATGATAGTGTCCGTTGAGGTTGCGCTATCAGTGGATATAGCGGGGCTATCATAGGGGGAATGCTCAGGATTTGTATCATCCCTTATGGAAGATTCAGCCGGGCTATGCGTAGGGAAACGAAGGGTATCCTCACACCCATATTCTTCTTGAGCATGCTGTCGGACATTCTGTCCTGCGTCATGAACGTTCTCTGCACGTGCATCCACAAAATCGTGATCATAGGGATCTCCTTCTGATGCCGATGAATCTCGCGCTTCCTCATAAACATGGTTAGCACGCACAAACTGTCGGGTTTTCATACTAACGTCTGGACATGCTACACCACCGCGAATACATGCAGCGCAACATGACAGCACATTGCGTGCGTTCTGTTGTATGCGCAAGAGCAAGACTTACTTCTTGTGTCTACCACCCACCCGTCAACCGGCATACCCTCTGTATGCGTTCTCTTCGATTTACAGAGCGTATAGAGTTGGCCAGCAGCTTTTTATTAGCTGCTGAGAGTCTCAAAGACGACTGAATCACTTTGTACAGACCTGCTGCTACTAATCCCACTGGAGGAATTCGATGCACCGTACGTCAACCCTACTGTTCATAAGTCGAAAAAGCTTCATCATACGCCGGTGCAAAAGTAACAAAGTCCATATCACTGTTGAGAAAGGCCAGACGAGCCCCATACAGTTTTCTTAACAGCTCGCTGGTCCACCTGAACACTGCATCTTTACCAATCTATGATATGGTTCCAGTGGATTATTTGACGCAGCATACACACTAGGCCTCCAAAACGCTTGCCAGCGCGGGAGTCCAAGTGAATTTGTCCACATTTTACAGATATGGTCGGTAAGTTTATGAACCGGGGACCCATGTGGATAACCTCTCCACTTTGTAACAACACGCTCTTGTACAGCATCGTATTCCTCTAGTGTAGCGTAATGCATGTCGTACAGATCAGCAAGCACACTCTTATTGTACCCACCCTAAACGTTTTTTCTCGCGAGTGCTTCCAAACATTTTTAGATACATGAAACCAGCACATTTGAACTGTAGCATGCGGCAATTCCGTGACATACGCATTGAACTGCGCTTTGTCGGCGTCCATCATAATAACGTTTGGAGCAAAATCGACTCCAAACACATCGATACATACTCGCTTTACGTAGCGAATGCGTCATGCAATGTCTATCGCGCGCTTTTGCGAAGTGCAAACGTACACCATCGGGTAGTAGTGCCCACCAAGATCCGAATATCCGAATGCAAACACGACAGAACCGTTGATTGCCATGTTGTGGGTACTGTCAATGTGAGGAATTGTGCTGTAGTTGGGATTGGTTTGCACATCAATGTATTCTTTTAGCCATCTTTAGCATGTCGTGCCTACGCGTAGTGGATAGGTTTTCGGGCCATCCCCAAGATGTGAAACCTGCCCTGTTTCGCCGGGGTCGGAATTCGGCTGCTAATCGCAGAGAACATCATTGATGTGTCTGATAGAATTTCGATGTTTATCTGGTCATAGCGTCGACCGTCGCAAAGATCGATTAGTGGTGCCATGGAATCATTGGGGTTCTTCTGACGCCAATTTTTCACAAAGTCGGAAACTTGTGTGTTCTTTGGAGCAGGATCAGACATCGCGTTTTTGTCAACTACGCTGCAAAGCAATGTGTACATCCTAGCAGCTGTAGTTTTCTCACTACCACTTAGACTTTCCATAATAAAGGCTTTCATTTCACGAGTGAGTTTGCGCTCAACGGGAGTTGGAGGATCGTTTATGTCCACGATGTGCGCTTCCTGCTGAAAGACCTCGCACAAATTTGACGACAAGCAGAACTTGAACTTATAATGACAAGGATAGGGATGAGGTTGTCCATCTTCGACGCTGTCAAGTTTCTCTTGCTGGGATTTGCAGCGTGTCGAGCGACAGGGGACTAGTTGGGAGCGCATCAAGTGATGTAGAGCATAGTCGCTGTTAAATAGATGGCCCATTGTACAACCAACGTGATTACTTTTGTCGACAGAGTGTGAGGTAGATTTGTACGGAATACAGCCAAAGCATCAGCCTCGGTGGAGCGCCAAATTCGTGTCCACAGAGGGCACCGTCCCGCCTCGGCTTTGCCATCACCGTCACAATCGCCATCCTCCATGTGACGGGGTCACACAGCACCTTGCGCTAGAGGAAGTTATATTCCGAGAGTATACAAACTCTCAGTGAACGGCAGTTCACAGGTCCCCTCTTTATTCAAAAGAGAGTGAAGTGACCTAAATAAGGTAGATTGTAAACTGAGTATATTTATAGGTAGATAAAGCTTGGGCTTAATACAAACTATAAGTCACCTATAGAAATGCAATGTCGTTAACCAATGGTTGGCTTTGGACGACCTTGGTACTTTGTACCAAATTATCCCGAAGCATGACGTGTCATACGCCTGAAGTGTGAAGTGTCACACTTCATGTAGCTAGAAGTACACTTAGGGCTACGTACCCCGTTAAATCCTCCCCCACTTAGGTTCGGTTTACCGACCAATCCAAATGAAGAAGTGTACGTCACAAACTCTCATTCTCAAAGTCGAAAATCATCGACTTGGCCGCGCGAGCGCGGCGGAGGCTGACTGCACAGTTAGCGCCTCGAGTAGCAGTCTGTGCGCTCTTCTTCTAGGTCTCCACTTCGACCGTTACTATGCCTCGTGGCACAGCAAAGAGCGGTGCTAAGACACGCTCCAAGGCTGCTGCCGGTAAGGCGCAAGCCAAGAGCACTAAGCCTCACGGCAAAGGCTCGGCACTCAAAGAGGCTACTCAGGTGGCCTCCGAGGCGATCGGTTCCTCGGGTGACGCGACTGTGGGCAAGCGAGCAAGCAAGCGCCGCAGCCCCTCGCCCTCGGCCTCGGCCTCTCCAGACAACCGTCCGAACCCTCGGTTCATAGAACGTGAGTTCAACTCTGGCAGTGAGGACGAAGCCGAGTCCGAGAGCACGCACGATGCTCCTGCGGGCTCTGCGGGAGGGCACAGCCAAGTGCCCAGTGAGCACAAGGATGACAGCGTGCAGTCACTCGCTAGTGATCAAGGTGATCACAGTCCCAGGACGTCTGTGCGCTCTGAGAGTCCGGCCGTCAAGGCTAAGGGCACTCCTAAAGCTGGTGGCGATGAGGAAGAGAATCCTCGCAAGCGTCTCTCGCTTGCCGAGGGTCTTGCGCGTGCTAAGGCCTCTAAAGTCGAAGGCGCCAAGCCCTAAAAGAAGCGTGCAGCCTCTAAGTCTCCACTCCGCGATGAGAAGGAGACTCGTCGCTCCTATCCGAGTATCTTCGACTCCTCGGATGAAGAGGAGGAGAAGAAGGAAGAAGAAGAGGAGGAGGGTGCTGTCTCTGAGCCCCGGGAGGTCTCGAATGATCTCGACCAGCGGCAGGAGGATTTCCAAGCTGCCCAGCGTGTGCGTGGGGGTTCGGAGGTGGCACCCGTAAGCCAGGGAGCTGCCTTCAACTCAAGAGGGTATTGGCCTCCCGAGGAGAGCGCTGGGGCTGACCTCTTCTTGGAGCTTCTCGTCGCTCCTCGTGGCCTTGTGGGCGGCCACACTTCTAGGGGCATTTACGAACGTGTCCTTGTTCAGACAGAACAGTTGTTCGTTGACAACTTGGAGGCGGCTCGGTGTGTGCTTCTCGCGCCACACCGCATCCTCCTTAAGGACTTCACGACTTGTCGTAAGAAGCCCAAGACTCGGGGTGGTCTCTATCCTCTTTGGGGATACCCCTGGGTTATGCCCGAGAACTGTCCCACGTGGAGTTCTTGTGAGGGCATGTTCTGGGCTTGGGTTGAGTCTCTCAAGTACTCACCCACGGTGTTACGGGAACTCCATGAAGATCTGCTGTTGTCCCGCATCCTGGACCAGCGTGATCTTCGTGTTCGGTTTGCCCACATGGTCAGCAAGCGCATGCCGCCAAGGGACATCCTGAAGCGCGCGGCTTCTAGCGCTCTTGATGAGCGCGGGTATGGAATGTATTCATCGTCCGTACCCCGTTCGGGCAAGAAGCCCCAGACTGCTAATGAATCTGCCGCCGCTTCTGTTCCCAGATTGCGACAGCCTTCGGGCAGTCAATCAGGAGCCGTTCAATCGGCTCCCACGAGTTCTCGGAGTGGGCATAACCCCTCCACTTCACGAGGAGCTGTCGCTTACCGCGACGCCGTTGCTCCTGGAGGATCCGCTCCACGTGGAAGTGGACTTCTCCATTCCGGTAAAGCAGGGGCGGAGGTGCCCTCGTACGAGTTCGAGTACTCGGCGCCTCCCGTACGCCACTCTCGTCCGAGTGCTCCGACTGCGGGTCCGACACAGGGCCCTGAGGTTGACCGCCTCCGTCAACGTGTCCTCGTGCTTGAGATTGCACTTGGCCTTGGGACTGGCGGTGATGCTGTGCCCAGGCCGGGAATCAGGGCGAGCTCGCTCGTCTTGCGGGCCGTCTGGACCTGTTGGAGCAAGAGGTCGCGAGCCTGCACGTGCGGGTGATCGCCGGGCCTCTTCGTCCGATCTGGACGAGGCCTTTCGCATGATCCGACGGATCGAGGCTCTGCTGCCACGTGCGGAGCCCGCCTGCGGCACACTCCTAGACGTACGCGTATGGTGCGTACCCGGCGTACTCAGCGTACTCGGCGTATGGCGCCGGGGTCCGTTCGTACGGAGCCCCTCCGGCGTACGGTCTTGACCGCAGCTTTGCCGTTCCGACCGAGGCTTGGGTGCCTGCTCCGACGCCCTCGTCGACGTCTGTGACCGGCCCTCGTTTCGAGGAGATGGGGCAAGGTGGGTCTGCGAGTCAGCAACCCCCTGCGGATCAAAGTACCGCTTAAGACGTTCAACATAGAACGTCGGGTGCGTCGTCATTGACTTTGGCAGGTCGATGGTGTACGACGCATCATGTCTGGCCAGGACTGCAAATGGTCCGATGAAGCGGTGGTTCAGCTCGTTGCTGCCGACAGAGCTGAGAGTGTCAAGAGGTAGGTTCCTCATGTCTAGCAACACTAAGTCTTCTACCTTAAATATACTTAATTTTCATTTCCATGTTTGTCGGAGTACTCCTTTTGTTTATCTTGGGCCGCTGCAGTGGCATCGCGAACCCTGCTGACAACGCTCAGCTTGGTATCCATAAAGGATTCCACTTGTTTCCGCAGCGAAACTGGTCTCACATCCGAGACCTGGGAGGAAAGGGCTTTCCGAGCCTCTCCCCCACTTAGAATAAAGGAGTCAGTGTCGCCTTGAAGAGTGAGAGGCACTCTGGGGTGACGGAAGCCGTTCAAGTAGAACGGCGTGAGCCCCGTGGACGCGTGCACCGCGTTGTTGAGCGCAAACTCAACAACTGGAAGCTGCGTCGACCACGTACGTGGTGCTGCCGCGCACACACTGCGCAGAGTGTCCTCAAGCACTTGATTGACGCGATCTGTCTGGCCGGGGTGGTCCGCAGTGGACATCTGCAGACGAGTTCCCAGTAAAGGGAACAGCGTTTTCCAAAACGCAGCAGTGAACCGCGGGTCTCGGTCCGAGGCAATCGTCTCCGGGAGACCCTGATAGCGTAACACGCCATCGACGAACAACCTTGCGGTTTGTTCGCCCGTAACAGTGACGGGAACCGAAGCAAGATGTACCATTTTGCTCAGCCGACACACGAACACCAAAATTCCGGTGTTGCCGTGTCCGTCGGCGGGAAGCCCAAAGATGAAGTCAAGACTCATCGACTTCCAACAATCAACCGGTACGGGCAGGCTCTGTAGTGGAGCCGAAGAGTGCCCTGCGGGTTTGACCCGCTGACATGTTTCACATGTCTTGACGTACTGGGCGACCCACTTGTACATGTGGGTCCACCAGAAGGACTGAGAGACCGACAGAAAGGTCTTCTCGCGGACTAAGTGGCCGCTGGAGGGCGCGTCATGCGCCTCCGCAAGGATGTCGAGCTTCAGATCCTCGTCGCTGGGTACGACCACCCGTGGAGGATCAGTGGGCTCCACCCGATAATAGAGGAGGCCCTCCTTCAACTCATATCGGTGGAGCCGTGAGTGCTGTCGCGACGAGAGCCAGTCAAACTTCGCGCTCGTTCCGGCCTTAAGGAACTTGACGATAGGCGCGACAGCCTCATCGTCCCGATACGCCATGCGTATCTGATCATATTGATCCGTTGTCACCCGCGTGATGTGGGCCAGCTCATAGTCAACACGCCGAGAGAGGGCGTCCGCAAGCATATTGCATTGCCAGGAGCTCCTTGTCGCGGACAGGGTAGTTCCGTTCGGCGGCTTTGAGCTGCCTGGACTGGAACGAGATGACTCGTTCGTGTCCAGCCGTGTCGGCCTGCAGCAATGCACATCCCATGGCGCAATCGGAGGCATCGCAGACGACGCTAAACGGCTTCATCTCGTCCGGCAGGGCCAGGACAGGGGCCTCTTGGAGACTGGCCTTGATGCTGTCAAAAGCATCCTGGTGCTCTCGCTCCCAGCGCCAGTCGACGTCCATCTGAAGGAGGCTCGACAAGGGCTTAGCGAAGCCCGCGTACCCCGCGCTGGAATTGTGAAGGTAGTTGGCCAAGCCCAACCACTTTCGAAGATCCTTCTGGGATCGGGGCGTCGGCCATGCTGCTATGGCCTTGACCTTGTCTGGGTCAGCC